AAATCACATTCTGAAGTTGGTCTGAGTTTTGTTTTGGTCCTAAATTCTCCAAACGGTCTGGATTTTCTATGAAAGTATCTGTTTTTATTGGCCACATGTTGCTCAATAGTAAATTCTTCTTCCTCTTTACTGTCATTCTGTTCACCCTCTTCTCTCTCTTTCAACCCCCCCTTCTTTCTCTCTCCCCTCTCTCCTTTCTCTGTTTTTCTCTTCCTCTCTCGTCTTCCTCCTCTCTCTGACCCACTCAGACACAGATGCGGCTGAACTTTTGCCAAACTCATCTCACTCACATCTTTATAACCCTCTCGTCCAATCAGATCGCGGGGTTCGGGGACGGGCCTCCTCTACTTCCTGTCTCCATTCACGCTTTGTTTACGTCCTGCTCCGAGCCAAAAACACGTCTCTCTGAAGTCCAGCGCTGGAGTAAACAGAGTGAACCACACCTATCACAGTGCCAAATGTGAGTCAAATAAAGAAGTAATTATATGTTACAATGTCGTTTCCTCATCACAAACATACCGGGACTTTTTGTTTTTTTTCAGTCACAGATATTTAACATATTTAGGCTGAGTTCTTAAATGGAAACACCTTGTGATGTCATGTGAAAATGGAAAAAATGCTGCATCAGTGTGTTTTTAAAGTCCATACACCTTCACCTGAATCATTTTGATCATTTCAGCCTGGAATTTCCGATCTCTACTGAACTAAGGCCCCGTCCACACTGGTACGTCCACTCTAGTATGTATTCGAGTTGTCTTCGTTATGGATGCAGTGTTCGTCCACACTAATCCAATTGAAAACGGCTCCAGACACGGAACAATCTGGTGCCTCCAGCTCCCACGAATTCATTTGAGTACGGATCTGTGTGGCACTGTATGGACACCTGACAATGCTGATACTCTGATGTAGGTCTGTGCACCGCGAAGTAATTCACCGCCAAAACACTAAGAGGCTAGAATATCTGTCCATTCATATAATACGTGTGTCTGTGTGTACGACCTGCAGATGTATAATCTCTGAAAAGTTTAACATGAACCATCTCCAACGCAATAGAAGCACAGAACAGACTCACCATCGACAGAACACCCCTCTGTCACAGAAAGAACACTCATATTCCACTAAGTCCTGTCCTTTAGTCCGACAGAAGCTGAACCGCATCAGCGCACAAAAGCGAGAAGTTTTTGGAGAGCTCAGTTTATGCAAATTTGCCATGCGGTTTTAAGTTTTGTTCCTGTAGATAGAGAAAAATCCCGCGTCTTACCTGCAAATTATGAGATTTATTAGGACAAATCGTGAGTTTAGTTTCTGTAAACAAATATGCTCAAAGCTGTGTGGATAGGGAAGGTTTGCAGACACAGAAACGACGTGTCTGGAAGCAAATCCTTTCTGATTCGGTGATACGGTGATTCTGTGATTCGTTTCAGTGTAAATGTAGTCTAAAGCTAAAAGGACCTTTTAACCTGAAAATGACAGCTTCGTGACATCACAAGGTGGAACAGAGCATTTTGAGGATGGAAAATTCCCTTCTAACTAACCATCTAGTCCCACTCTCTTTCCAGCTGTGAGGTCTGGACCAGTTCAAGCAGATCTCCTCCTTCTCTTTTCTAAATAAATCCCTCTTTGCATTCAGTGTTTACACTCCTGAAAACACAAATCTTTAAGTCCTACACACACTCTGCTCCAGCTGCTCCACCAGGTCTAAACTACACTGAGTCTCTGAGTCCACATAAAGACTCTTCTACACTTCTACAGATGTTTGACTTGTTCACAGACAGTTTCAATTATGAGTTAAGAGGTTATGTTTCCCCAAGGGCCAGAACTGAATCCTGACGTGAGGCTGGATCATAGATATGTGTATGTGTGGACTAAGTGAGTGTGACGTCACCCACAGCATTTGGCTGCAGTCAAATGAAGCTCACTGAGGTCTGCAGTTATGGGGTGAATCTGGGTGCATCTTTGGAAATCCAAGCATGAAACCAACGAGCCAATCAGGAACGATACATAGAACTACGGTACATGCATATCTTGACACAGTCCACGTTCAGTTTGGTACGATATATTTCAAATCATTTTGATACCTTCAATAAAAAATAATGGCTAATTCAAGGCTGTGATAAAAGTCTAAAAGTGTTAAATCACTTCTTGTGCAAAGCGAATATGAAACACAAACATTTTAATGAAAAAATTGTCAAAATGTCAAATGTGTCACAAACGAGTTTCCTTCCTCTAAACAAGCAACAAACCTGTAGTGCTGTAACAAAAAAATTGAGTAAAATATACCAAAAAAATACTCTTAGCGATATATCAATACAGCAGTCCACGATATCAATACTGAATCATCATATTAAACGATGCAATATATCAATATTTCAATCTTTTTGCACACCACTACTCTTCATATCTTCATTTAGAGACAATATAGTGAAATAAAAAACACTAGGACCATGCATATATGCACTCTCTGAGCCGGACCAACACAATTATTGATGAAACAAATGCTAATAAGCACATTTCTGTAAAATACAGGGTTCTCTAATCTATTAACTATGCTATAATTATAATAAAAAAACCTGCGGGGGCCAGATTAAAGCACAGGAGAAGTGTGTCCAGAGTCCACGCACAGACACAAGAGGGAAGAGAGAAGGAAGAGTTGGGTTAAGTTAATTTTTACATTTTCGATGTCCTAATCACTATTTCCCCAAAGAGCAAAGCCACACACACACTTCCTCTGAACACGTGAGTTTATATTTAAAGAACTGAATCTGCTGCCTCTGCTCTCAGCACTATGAGCTCATCCTTCCTCTTTATCAATCACATTTTCCACTAGAACTTCATTCAAAATTAGACAAAAGGATCGAAATTCTGCAGCGCTGCACAGATCTGGCCTCAGCTGACCTCTCTTCTTCTCCCTCTCCTATCCCTTCTTCTTCTCTCTCCCAATTAACCTGAACACCCCCCTGCGCTCCTCTCTCATTTTCCCTCCTTCTTTCTCTCCCTCTCTTATCATCTCTCTCTCTCATTTCTCCTTGTATAAATCTCTCTCTCCCTCACTTTGTCCCCTTTTCTCTTCATCTATCTCACTCTCTCTTTCTCCAGGGTTCCCGCTCTTTTTCACTGACCAAATTTCAAAACTTTTCCATGACTTTTTGGTCCATGTATTCCATTCGTTATTTTAAATTTCAATTATGAACGAAATATAGTAAAATGGAAATTATTATTCAATTTCAGTGTCAAAAAAACTAAACAAAACAAAAACATTGATTTCGACTATTTCTAATATTTAATTTAAAGTTTAATGTCTCAGTGACTATTTTAATTTTGATATTTTATTCTCTCTGGTTTATTTGCCCCGGAAGTTCTGCTGCTCAACCAGGGATCTACAAAAACTATTTTTATTATAATTCTATGGTGTCACTGCTACTTGTTTCTCGTCATGGAGTTCAACAATGACTTTTTGAGATGCGAATGTAAACGTGTCACTATAAAAGAAGAAACACGTTTGTCCGCAAAATTGCAGTGATTTTTCAAGTAAGTCCTGCTAGTAGAAGAACTCCTAGGGTAAATAAACCAGAGAGAATTAAATATCCAAATTAAAATAGGCACTGAGACTGTTTTTGATTGGTGTTATTTGAAATAACCTTAAATTAAATACTGGAAATAGAGGTTGAAATCTGTTTTTCTGTTTGACACTAAAATGGAATAATGAAATAACAAACTGTTTTCCCATTTTATTGTTTTTTTCATTCTTAATTGAAATATTCAAAAGAAGGAATGGTACACAGACCTTTTTTCATGACCTAAAGTGAATTTTCCATGACTTTACGGCACCTACATGTGTAGAATTGATCAGACTTTTAGGGCTAAATATGAAATTTTGAACATTCAAAATCCTGTCAGTGCATTTACTGTCGTCTCTTTTAAACAAAAAGCGCAGACGTTCACAAATAATCAGAACAGCCTCATGAGAACTTAACAAAACGCTGGAATTGCATGAAAGAGATACTAAAATTAAATGACTTTTCCAGGATTTCCATGATCGTGAGAACCCTGTTTTTCTTTCTTAGCGTCAATCAACCTCTCCCTAACCTCTTCTTCTCCTCTCTCTCTTTCTCATAGCGGTGAGGTGAGAGCAGGGTCAGTGGAGTAGCAGACCACAAGAGCTCTCCCTCTGTCTCTCCCCTCTTTCCTCTCTCTCTCTCTTCGTGTCTCTCTCCTTCTCTGTTAGTGGTGTGGTGACATCAGGCTGTGTGCAGTAGCAGACCACGAAAGCTTAAACAAACTCCTGACTCTGGTCTTTGTGTTTCACGCTGACGTCAGAAGAGATGCGCTGTCACAAATCACACACTCTGCTCACTGTACACACACATTTCACTGTATCATCTGTGTGTAAGCTTTACTCAAACATCGAATTACAGTAAGACTAGATTACATTTAAAGTCGGATTAAAAATACAGCTGTAATTCTAACACTACTAACTGATTTATTATACACAAAAAAATGTTTGTAATAATAAAGAGATGTATGTATCACACTGTAGAGACTCATCTAAGACTCTCTATCTTCAAAAAAGTCCTGAAAACTCACCTGTTGGAAATAGTTGTTTATTTGTTTCTTTCATTTGTGTTTCTTTTTTTTTAGCCTTCAATTTGCATTTTAATCTGTAAAACGTATTAGTCTGTTTAAAAAGACAAATCTGACGCACTGTGGACACAAAAAAATCTTAAAACTTGAAAAAAAGAAATCGGCAAAATTTTCAACCAATACCATATCTCTACGGCTACCGAAACCAAAAACAAAACAAAATCCAGTAACGTTTCTCAACTTCCTTATTCTCAAAGAATAAGGAATCAGAACAATTTCCAATAAAGTGTCTGTTATTGTCGTTTTCTCACCTACTAAATCATCTTCAAGTTTAAGCACTATAGAACACTTCTGTAATATTATTCTTATTATAAACCAACTGATTAATCTAGAGTAAAGATTCCCCCTCTGGTACTCACCGATCTGGTCCTCTGGGATGAGGCTCTCGATGGGAGGCTCCAGCTCAGAGCTTTGTCTCAGGTAACTCTTCATCTGAGTGAGGAACTGTCTGACCGTCTGCAGCAGCTCAGAGCCGGAATCTAACCCCAGACCTGAGCGCAAACAAAACAGGATGGAGATAAGAAACAGTGCGAGATTAGAGAAGCGGTAAAGGGGAGTAGGAATGTCCTGATTTCAAATTTTATTGAACTAAAAATGATTGCTGCCATGCTCAAACAACAATCATTTCATTCACATTGTGGAATAGATGAGCATTTCTCTCTGTGAGCTAATCAGGAGTGATCTCATAAATGTCAATAGTTAACTCACGATTAATTGCAAATTAATCACACATTTTTGTCCCTTGAATAATCATTTTAATACTCTTATCAACATATATGCTTTGAGGAAATGTTTTTTTTTTTATTGCAATTGTGTTTGTGACTGTTTGTCCCAATGCTGCTGTACTAAGGGTGATAACCAATCACACGCTGCTGTTTGTTTACATGTGGCTAACACTTTAACGGAGAAAATAAGTCCAATGGAAGAAATAAAATAGTGAGACCGATATGAGTCCTGCAGCGATACGATCCTCCGTAAGTTTATGGAGCTCGGAGCAGTGAGAACAACCGGAGGAGAGCCTGCAAAACTTCTGTCTCTGTCCCAGTCCTTACGAAGGTCAGCGCCGATTCACCGCATGTTTTGCAGCGGAGTTTATTTTGTGTTTTCCTTGAATGAATAATCTCAGCGCACCTGACAGGGCTTCTCAGTTTTGTTTTTGTATTGCATCCTGTTTACAGATGGATCCTGTAGTTTTTCTAACGTTACAGCAGTGGCCACAACTTATGAAAAAACTAGTTTGAAATAAAAAAATTGACACCATTAAAATTATTTTGCGGTAACTCAGTAATAACGCAATATTTTTGACAGCACTAATTATTAATTAAGGGACAATCATTTAATTGTATTATTTTTGCATAGTATGAACAATTCTAGGCATTTTGTATTTACTTCAAGTAGGATAACGTCACCGGTGGCTTAGACTCTTCAATACACTTTTTGTTCATTAATTGATAGAAAATGGGAACAAAAAAGAGACTTTTTTTGCCTGAGGTAAAGTATTTCCATGACTTCATTTGTAATACAGATGAATCCAACATCCTCACCTTGCTCTTGGCCTTGGTCTGTTATGTACCCGAGGAAGTCTTGCACCAGTCCTCCGAAGTACGTCGTCTTGTCTCGCGATAGCTCCAGAACTTTCCGTATGGCTCTTTTCTCCGGCGTCAGGAGCGAGTTGAACATTCCGCTCATTTTGCGTAGCTTCCCCTTTAAAGCCTTCTGAATGACCTCCGCGCTCGCACTGGTCTTGCGCTTGGTCCGATGTCCAGGCGGAACCATCGTCAAATCGTGATCTTGTTCCTGATCGCTTTCGAGACTAACCCCAAAGTCCTCCTCATAATCTTCATCGTCGTCGTCGTCGTCCTCCTCCATGCTCGAATACGGAGGCAAAGACAGCGGCAAATGCGTGTTTATCTCCTCCAGAGTTGGTGGATTCGGATCGTGTAAGAGGAATATGGATTGGGGAAAGTCAAGGGAATCGGAAGAATCGGTTGATAGACTCATATCGCTTAAACGCTGCCCTCCCTCTCTAGCGTTTTTCTCGTCTTCTGTACTCCCGCTTTCCTTTCCGCCATCTTGAACCCCACTGTCTTCCTCCTCCTCTTTGCACGTTACGCCTCTCTGCAGCCTCGCCCTCCTTAGAGCTTGTTGGATGACGTGATCTTCCATCGCTAAGTCGCACTGTGCTTCTTCTTGGCTGGACGAAGATGGTGACATTTTGAAACTACGTCTTGGAGAAGAAGATAAAGAACCTAGAGATAACGGGAGAGACGGTTTTGGAATTGTAATGGGCGAGCTGATGCTGAAGATCCTTTTTGGAGGAGAGGTGGATGGACTTATGGTAAGAGATGATCCCAATTTATACAGCAAACTCTTCCGGTCTTCTGATTTCTCCTTTGGCACGGCGATCCAAGGGACCTTTTCCGGCATGCTTCTTGTGCGCGTCACCTGGCCAGAGCGGGAATTCGCAAACCGCGGAGGAGGAGGTCTCGGAGGAGGTGGTGAACGTTGCGAATTAGCGTTGTCCTGAGTATTTTTATCCACTTCGCTTGGAATTACGCGGCTTTCTTCAACGGTAGCATCACTGTCCGATTCTAAGGGTTCTTGTCTTGAGTTGTCATTTTTGTTTTCGCTTTTGCCGCTCAAAACGCCGCCTTCCTGATGGACTTTTATGAACAGCGGGTTGATGAAGCAGAGCGCGCCGTTGGACTGGCAGCACTCCAGCTCAGACGGGGTTCGTGTTTTGATTTTCGGATAGATTAGGGGTGACGAAATTGTTGAAATTGTCGAGAAAGTCGAAGATGTTCTGTTAGTCGGAGGTGGCGGTCGGTCCGGAGCTGAGAATGAGGAACTTTTTCTCTTGCAGACAGACTGAGCATCCCAAAAACCTGAAAGAAACAAAAACAAAATCTATATTAAAATACGTTTTTGTTCATCTGTGTACAGTAAAGAGAGTAGGATTAAAAAAGTATGGAAAATCAGATATTAATCGCTCTTAAAACTAGTATCGAAACTGAACTTGAAATGAAGCTTTCCTGAATGTCTGTGGAATGATCTTGAGCTGTATCAGAACAAGTATAAGAGCCCACAGACAAGTATCCACACATGGACCTCTATGGAACATATCTGGACGACACAACTATGGACACTATGGAACATGTGGATTACACAACATGAAGCTTTTGTCACTTACAGACTTAGTCACCAAAAGAGGAACCAAAGCAAGGAAGAAAATAGTGAGTCCTATTTTTGCCAAATCCCCAAACATAATCAGCGAAATTACCAAATGACCAAATGACCAAACCAAATTTAGCTTTTGATTCTTGCTGTATTTTTTTTTACAATTTAGTCTTACAAGCTGTAAGGTAGGATACACCATTTGTTATGCATAGAATATTCCACAGTCTGGAAGTTTTGTGTTAGTGAAGAAAAGTGAGATACAGGTTTAAAATCATATTGAGGATCATTCCAGGTAGGGTGACCAGATTTTCACAATTAAAAACTGGGACACACCCGGGTTGGGATGGTAGGTATAAATAAAATTGTGAAAAATCGTGTAGCACTGTCCATTCTGTGTATAATCTGAGACAAAATACAAAAGCGCAGTCTTCTGGATTTTGTCTTAACAAATGCAATTTATGCTCTTCTGGTTTGGACCTGGTTTAGACCTGAAATAAACCTAGTTTAGACCTGGATTAGACCTGAAATAGACCTGGTTTAGACCTGAAATAGACCTGGTTTTGACTTGAAATAGACCTGATATAGTCCTGGTTTGGTCCGAGTTTAGCTCATGGTTTTGACATGGTTTAGACCTGATATATTTCTATTTTAACCCTAGATTAGTCCTGGTTTAGACCTGGTTTAGACCTGAAATAGATCTGATGTAGTCTTGGTTTAGTCCTAGTTTAGTCCCGGTTTAGATCAAATTGGTCCAAAATAGGGACACCTGGGACATTTCTTGTATAAACCTGGGACAAATCACTGGTTTTGAATAAATCTGCTGACACAGGCGACACAGGCTCAAAACTGTCCCGAGTAAATAAGGACGTCTGGTCACCCTGATTCCGAGCAAAGCAATAATATTTCAATGGAGATCCCTCTCCAGAAAACTTGTAAAATGCACCTTTCACTTGCCAGTCACAACCTCGTCACTTTAAAGCCATTCACAAACTTTGCACCTTTATAGAAAACAAACAGTTCTCAGTGACATGGCTCATTGGTGAATCAGGTCTTTACTGTTAGCGCCTTATAGGATTAACCCATTCATTCTGTTAGCAACGGCACTAACGCTCTGCTCACATGAAGGCAGGCATGAGTCAGAAATGGCTCAAAATAAACAGGACTTGACTCACACTGACAGACACATATGGCCAATGTATTGCTCAGTTTATGTAACTTTTTTGTTTCATAGTATGGTATAAAACATATCTATCTCAGACACATATTCAATGATCGCTGTGTCTTTAGTGACCAAAAATATACTGAAAAATCAAAGCAGTACAAGCAGCAGGAGATGCTCCACTGATGGTAAATTCTTCTGTCACAGCGTAAGTATCAAACCTCTTACAAACATGTCTTTAATTACACTACACCTGACGGCTACTGGCTCTGTTTCATCCATTTGATTTCTATAGTACATTTTATAAACAAATGAACACACCCATAAACCTTGTCATCCCAAACTACGACTTCAACTACTGCAGTAACATTTAAACACACCAAAGCAAGCAACCTTTAAGAAACTACACAACAAAAATAAATACATGCAAGTATATTTCATGAAGTGAAAAATGTGGTGACTTCAAATGTGTTTTAAAAGTCTCAGTGTACAGTAGAAGAAATGGTTTGACTCGCTGACTAAATCCAAAAATGTATCACTGACTAGTCAACTACTACAATAAGCGTTAGTCACCAAAAGACCAAAATATGACTGAAACTGAAAACTGACTGATCGAAACTCCAGGGTTAACTGTTTTTGTATCCTAGTTAATATTAGTTGAACTTCATTTGGTCCTCCTGTTTCAGTCTCCTTCATTCCAAGTTGGTTAAGATCAATTTTATCTTCAACCTAAAATCTGTTTAAGTCCTGATGTCCTTATTTAATCCACACATTAAACTAAACATCTGATTTTCTTCTTTTTTTAGGGGAAGACGACGTTGGATGGAACGGAGCAACTACTCGGACGATTTTTCTACGACACGGGGGAACCGGGTTTCCAAACGTTTGCGATTTCAGGAGGGAAAGGTGTATCTTTTAAACATGTACGACTGCAGGTGGAGTCCAACTGGGGCAACACGGAATACACCTGTCTGTACAATTTTAAGGTACATGGAACACCTGCGCCCCCTGTCGGCCAAGTCACGACCCCACAACGCTCCTAAGAACGCCCCCACTGCCCCAACCAGCTCCACCCCCAATGCAGTCCCAATCCTCACCCCCATATCCACCCCCATCGTGAATCTGAGCAGTTCCATTGGACTGGAACTACAACATCTGAAAATTGAAAAATAAAAATCATTAAACTGGACCATAATGTTTGTTTTAATTTGTCGGTTAAGTAAAAAATATTGTCAAAGAACTCTAGTGCACTCGCAGATTTACGTGAATGCCAAAGTAAACTGCACTGATTCTATGTCTGTTTATTGAGTCAAATTTCAGTTGAGTAAAGATGAAAAATAAAAAACATGGATAAAAGTTAATTAAACTGGTCATTCTAGCTCGTGTGCATTTCTTTCTCTGTTCATGTCATTACTAATTCACGGTTGTGCCAGTAAGCGATTTAAAAGACATTTTCAAACGTACCTTGCAGAATTTACAGATTTAAGCTTCGAAAATATGCCTAAAAACTGAAAGATAGACAATATTTACACATTCGAAGTAATAAAAAAATTCACAAAACCTACTCTTCCAGTCTCATTTTTAATCAAGACGCAAGATATTTGGCCAAACACATCAAAATCAGAATAGACTATTTGATTTTATGAATATTTTATAAGTCTTTGGTGGTCAAAAGTATCAAAAATCAGATACTTATCGATGCTAAAATGAGTATCGAAACTAGATTCTCATTTGAGCAGGTATCTATACTAAAAAAGTTCTTCAGAATGATCTTGAGCTGTATCAGAACAAGTATAAGCTTCCAAAGAAAGTACTACCATTTGATGTACTACCATTTTCTATTGCATGCAGTTTTTTTTATTATCATCGCAGTATCAGAATCGGTATTGAGTATTGCGTATTTTTTAGTATCGAAATAGAGTTTGAAATTTTATTATCGTGAAAACCTTACTTTGTGCTGAAATATAGTTTCTTAGCAGTTAGATGCCACTGTTTACACTTACAGAATCTCGATAAGTATTTAAAAGTCAACCATTATTTTGATTGAGGATAATAGAGCATTTACTGGTGAACTCCCAGGAACCAATGTCTTTCAAACAAACCAGGACCTGCAGCTGTCCGCCCACATTCACCTTTCATTTAATCTGTACTTAAATGTAATTACAACTTCTGGCAAGGTCACTCCCAGACTCATTCTGCTGGTTTCATGAGGGAATAATCATGACCTACAAAGAGCAAAACTGCAAACAATCGAATATATGCCCAAACCTGCATGCGGTGGGAAATATGTAATACGTTTTCAGCCAGATTAACAAAAGAAAGACCGAGTAAATAGATAAACAAGTCAAGTCTGAGTTCAAGAACCACGCCTCTGCATACAGGCAGGATCCAACAGTGTCCATTATTTCACACAAAGCAAGTGCAGCAATCGCAAAGTAGTATTTAAAGACGTATTTCACTTATAAACCAACTAAATAAACAACTTGTACTTCTAACTATGTGACAAAATAACCAAAATATCGTGATATCGTATCGTCAAAAGTCTCAGAATAATACCTTGGGCCACCACAATATATCGAAATACAAATGTCTCTGCTTAAAATCTCGCTAAAACAGAGGGAACTACACAGACCATGATCCTTTGCTCAGTTTCAGTGCCCATTACATGAAGAAATAACTGTTATAAACACTTAAATCTTCATTCTTTGGATTATGACAGAACCAAAGTCTTGTCAAGGCATTTTAAAAAGAAAAAGTTGTTTATCGCAATAAATATCGTACTGTGAGATGTGTATTGTTAAAATATCATAGTCAGAGATTTGGATATCGTTACATTCCTTACATTTTAGGGTTTGATATTTATAGCGATATTGTAGAGATGTTAACCTCACTGAAGACATGCTACTTTTTTATTTGGTGCCATATTACTGTCATAGTTAAAAGAATTAAGATGAAAAGTTCTTTCTAACACGTCATACTTCATACTGTCTGCTCTGAAACTGAACAAAGGATCAGGATTTAGCTGTTCCTGCAACAAAGCCATGCATTTAATCAGATTATGATTCGATATATAGTGACAGTCCACGATATTACTGTGAGACCTTTGACGATACGACATCACAATATTTTACAGTTTCAAAAAAAAAAAAAAAAAGTATTAAAATCAAAACTGAACTTGGGTTGTCAGTGCCTAAACTTGCAGATAAAGGACACATACAAGTTTGTGACACTTAAAATTTAAATCTTATAGAGTTCCTTTAGCTTTTGAGCAATAGTTAATATCATGTCTGCAACTACGCAATAAAATAAGATGGGGAAATGATTTTAAAGAATAAGCCTAAATGAATTTTTAAATTATGAATTGTACAACTACAGACAATATCGAACAATGAGTCATTTTAAAATTCAGACTATGCAACTTTTCTGGTGGAGGGTCTCATAAAATGTTATTGCTTTGCCAGGAACAGTAAGCCTATAGTAAACATTTTATTGCCAGAAATGTGTAGAGTCAGCATCTTGTCTCCATGGAGAGTGGTAAGTTTAATGAAA